TTGTTGAGAAAATGAATCAGAGGACTCTTTGAGATAAAAAAGTATTTTAATATTTTTCATATTTCCACAATAAAATCAGAAACTAATTTAATATTTCCCCATGTCTGAACTTCAACGCGCGCGCCCTTGACGTAGGGCCTTCCTCTTCTGCTCGTGACCTCCATTCAGCGATCTGAGCAAGCTGAGACCCCTTGAGATAACCCTGATTGTTCAGGCTTTCAGTTGCATCTTTTTGTGAGTTAAATCATCATTACAGATTAATATAGACGGCTACTCGCAAATTAATGTTTTCAAACATCGATGTTGTGTTGTCGATATCGCATCACTGGTTAGAGAGCGAACGCGAAGGAAAGCATACAATGCAATTTAGTAATTATATCGCAGTTTCACGACCATTTCGCACTTTCAATGTGATTTCACATTTTGCAATTGACTTCACATTTTATCGCAGATTGACCTTCAGAAATGTACTGCACCGATTGTCAAACATACAATTACTATATTTACATAATTTGGTAATATTTCGCATTTCTAGCAATTGCTAAAATATATCATCTCTAGGCATTGTCCTTGCCTGTGGATGTTGATTTCCACATAACACTCAACCCACTTCACGATTTTTGATCGCATAAGCTACAGAAAATTATGGTTTGTGTTATCGCTTATAATTTATGAAAAATACGGTAACGGACAGTTCTCTTTGCGAAACTCCGACGTCTCCTACCGGAGCAGCGTCCTCGGCGAGTTATCCGATAACGTCAAATAGCATTGGGGGCATGGCGCATGGATGTTTGCGTTACGGTTACACCGTATGTTACTTGCAGTGGTCGCTATATGACCTTAGTATTAGAAAAGAGTCTTTAAATAAGTAAATAAAAAAGTTAAATACCGTTTACGTGGGTTCTCTTCTATCTTCTTGGGTGTTTTTGAGTATGCATGTGTCACGTAAAGGAAATTGAAAATTCATTTATTGGACGCCATGGGCATGAGCTATTCGGGTCACACAGACCTCTCGGGGCGCAGTGCAAACGGTTGATTGATTGATTGATTGATTGTATAAATGATTCCGAGCAGTCAATTACCAGGGTATTTAGTCCCGTAAGCGCAGTGCAGGTTTTTTCTCCGGCTGTGGCGGTGATATTTCCCTCGCTGTAGGGCGAGATCCGGTGCCAACCTACCGTCGCCTACCAGGGTTTTCCCCAATCAGGTATCCCCCACCAGCGGGGCAACGCCCCTACCGGGACAAGCTCTAAGCTCTCGACCGGTCCCCCGGCATGTGTGTGTGTGTATGTAGTGCATATTAGTGTGAGTGGAGAGGACAGGACAAGGACGAGGTAGGAAAGATAGCGCGCGGTCCGTAGTCCGTTGGCGGTTCGTCTCAAAATAGGATTAATTTCTTCTACAACATCATATGGAAAACTTCCTTATATTTAAATAATGTTCCCGTTCGTTGGGCTTGATTAAACTTGCAGCAGCTTTCAACACCTTTGGGGCATAATTTATGGCATGCCTCATCAGTTGATGAACCATGAAAAAGAAGTACCCATACAGCTTTCTTCATTCATTCAGCGCCAAACAGCCGTGGCGACAACATCGCTCGCTCCGGCCTAGTCAGTGCAGTTACTCAGAAAGTTCACGAAGTGTATAACCGTGAAGTACTCGTTGTGTAGTGAAGTGAAGTACAATCAGCTAATATACAGTGCGCCATAAACCAACAGTCGCTTTCAGTTATTATTAACGGTGAGCCCCCTTCAGCCAGCTGTGACCTATGTCACTGCATTGCAGGAGCCATGGCAACTCTATACGGCAGCGAGTGTGCCATGGACAGTACCTCCGGCAGTCCAGAAATTCAACATCATCATCTTCGTATTCGGAGCCTTCCCGTGCTGCCAAATCCCACCGTTTGCCTCAAATATGCAGAATGGGCAGTTTGCAACTGTTCAAGGTGCCGATTGCAACTCGCAACAGCTCACTGGGGCCGGAAACCTCCAGGTCGGTAACCTCTACTCAGCAAAAGACGCAGCTAGCGGCGAAGCAGACATTTCCGACAATAACAGAGAGTCGCTAACAATTTCTAATAGTGCTAAAAGAACCCATAACTCAGGAGAAATAGTCATTCTCCCAAATAAGAAATCAACCACTTCAGATTCACCTCAGTATAATATACCAGTGGGAAACAGATATGCAGTGCTAAAGAAACTATCAGATCAAGAGAAAATATTTGAGTTTGCCAATGTCACTCCGCCCCAAAATATAAGAATCCCTCCCATTTTTTAAAATAATATCTATAATATCTCGGTGTTCAACAAAGAGATTAAAAACAAATTAACCAGCCAACTTACTACAAATTACAACGAAAACATAATTAAAATAATGTTTAAATCAATAGCAGATTTCAGAACAGCCATCAAATACCTCATTGAAACCAAAAGACAATTCCACACCTACAAAGATCCAGCCAATAAAAAATTTACTGTCGTCTTCAAAAATATTCACCCAATAATTACACTAGAGGAAATAACCGAAGACCTTTAGCACAAATTTCCGTCCATCATCAGTGTAACAAGACTTTATAAAAACATCAGTTAATTATCCCAGCAGAACCCACTCACTACCCCACAGATGACAGTAACAACCAGATATAATGGATATTGCAATTTCTAACACTCAAACAATTTTTCACTCAGCTCCCTTCTTTGAACTAGACTCAGATCACCTGCCAACCATCATCTCAATTCAACAAATCACCCCCCTCACACTTCAGTTCTCACACTTAACACACAAAACATCCACTGGAAAAAATTTAAGAACATTATTAAAAAACAATCACCCAACTTTAAAATATTAAAAACTTCCGTAGAAATAGAACAAGCTATAGACCTCTTAAACAATATTATAATTAACACAATCAACATTCTTAATAATAATGCTCGCTCTCCCCCACCATTAAGCATTTCAATAAAAAAACTTCCGAAAAACATCCTCACAATTATTAATACTAGAAACAAAACAAGAAGACTTTGGTGCATCATGAGAAACCCACAGCTTAAAAAAAGAGTTAAATTTACTGTGCAACATCGTAAAAAAATCACTAAAGGAACGTAAACAAACAACATAAAATGATTTAATCCAGTCCCTAAGCACAAATAATAACACGTTGTGGCAATTCACTAAAAAATCTTGAAAAAGAAGGCAATAATACCCTCACTAACAACTCCAAGAGGCAGTAAATTCGCTTCTTAAGAGGAGGTTGAAGTATTAGCCGGTCACTTTGCTAAATCATTCACTCCCAATGCCACCCCAACTCACACACTGTATTTAAACATACTGGAAATAGCATGAGCCCCCAACTATAACGTACCACACAAAATCAACATCTCCTCAAATGAAGTCATTAATATAATTAAAAATTTGGCGAAACAAAAGCCCCTGGGCACGACCATATAAGTAACAAAATCTTAAAAACTTACCTAATCCCACAATAGCATGTATCACCAATATTTACAATTCAATTATTAGAACTAGCTACTTCCCCGTTATTTGGAAAAATTCAAATGTAATACCCATCCCCAAGCCATTCAAGAATCTCACCAGCACTGACAACTACAGACCCATAAGCCTTCTTCCCACTGTATCAAAAATCCTAAAAAAATTAATCCTTAAAAGACTAAATTACCATGTGAACAAAACTCAATCCCAATGCTTCAGTTTGGCTTCACTAATAAAGTTTGAACTTCTCATCAATTATTAAGAGCACCTAAACACTGCATTTAAAAAAAACACCATACAATAGTTACCTTTTTGGACATTTGGAAAGTTTTTGACTAAGTGTGGTATCCTGGATTAATATTCAAACTTAAAGAAATAGGTACTTCTAACTATCTACTTAATATCATTAGTAGCTTTCTCCAAGATAGAACATTTTCAGTCACTGTTAACAATCACACGTCCAATCCCCGCAGTATTACAACTGGATTACCTCAAGGCTCACCACTGTCCCCCACGCTTTTCAACATAAACACAGCCGACATTCCCCCCATACACATCGCCCAATTTGCCGGAAATACCGCAATTTTCATTTTCAATCATTCAACTTATCTAATTTGTAAATAAATTTAAACACATCTAAATAAAATTGATGAATGGTCTCTCAAATGGAAAATCAAACTCAATCCTACAAAATCATGCGCCAAAATATTTTTATTAAGAACATTTTCAACCCCAACTCCACTCCAAAATAAACAATAACCCAATTCCACGAACCTCACAAAATTAATCTGTCAAATACTTACGGCTGAATCTTTATACCAGACTAAATTGGAAAAATCACATAACAGTAAAAGCACAGCAAGCCAAAATAAAACTAATTCAACTAAAGCCACTCTTATATCGCAATAGTAATCTCTTATTAAACAATGCCATCACCATCTATAAATCAATAATTAGACCCCTAATGCTTTAAGCATGCCCTATCTGGATCAATGCCTCTAAAACTAATATCAATAAATTACAGATCATCCAAAATAATTTCCTCAGACTTGCCACTCATGCACCCTGGTTCATCTCAAACATTCATCTGCACAAAGATTTTAATTTACCTCCTATAGTGTACCATATATCGTTCCTATCAAACAATTTCTTCTCCAAAATAAACACAATAACCCTAGCCACCCATTACGACCTAGCCACCACCTACCAGCTCCCAACTAGAATAAAAATAGATATCCATTAGATTCATTCCTCAGCATATTTTCAGAACTCAATTAATCACATAGGTGTTCTGTGCGTTTCCTATTCATGTGTAGTTAGATTTAGTTGTAAGATTAGCATGTAAGTTAAATATAAGTCATAAAATACATATGGTGTAGTATAAATAATATTGAACTATGTACATTCGTTCACTAATAAATATATATTTAAAATGTTTAAAAAAAGCTTTCCTCATTGACTCAACACTACGGGTACCTTGACTAATTGCTAGACCATAAAAATGTACTCACTTGTCAATCATAGCTTCAGTGACATGTCCTGAGCATTACTTTCGGTTGGATCTGTACCCGAATTCACATTTTGTACAGCTTTTTGCTTTCAGACATTTCTCCAATTTTTAAAAACTCGCAGATACCTTCTGCATATCTTAAAAGATAGGAAATCGATAACCGCAGCAAAGAAATAAACCATCAAATATCTGTGGAATCACACAACACGACAAACAGCAACGCAACACATCAAAACCAACCCCCGTAGACTAGTAGGTTTGTACATATTTTTAAGCTTTCAGAGACAAATGAACATCAAACAACGTCCCAGAGTAAAAAGATAACATTGCAGCCAACTTCGGATAGTAGCTTTTCAGATATCGAGCGGGCGATTCAAAAATGTTCCAGAAAATTCGAAAGTCCCTTCCTGTATTCGACCTGTCAGAATACTGCAGGTTCGTCACGAGGCCCACATTCCCTTCTCAATGTTTTTAAAAATTAATTTCAGCAACTTAATAACAAAAAAGGTGTATGTAGTATATACAAGTAGCAAAATACCAGGCGTTGCTCTTTTTTTCGTATTCAATCCTTGTGAAAAAGAAAAGGTCTCCGTGTCTCTCTCTATCTGTATTTCTCATTCTCTCTGTCTGTCTCTCTATCTCTTTCTGTCTTTTTCTCTCATTCCCCCTTTGTCTCTCTACCTCTGTGTCTGTGTGTGTGTCTCTCTCTGTCTCTCTATCTTTCTCCTTCTCTATCTTTCTCTACGTTTCTCCCTCGGCGTCTTTGCCTCTGTCTGTCTCAGTTGTCTCTGTCTCTCTGTGTGTATGTGTCTGCCCCTGTCTCTTTCTCTCTCTGTCTCCATCTCTCCGTGACTCTCTGTGGCTCTCCGTGTCTGCCTCTCTTTCCTTCTATGAGTCTCTCTGTCTCTCTCTCTATCTCTGTCTCTTTCTGTCTTTGTCTCTCATTCCCCTTTTGTCTCTCTACCTCTGTGTCTGTGTGTGTCTGTCTCTTTCTTTGTCTCCCTATCTTTCTCCGTCTCTCTGTATGTTTCTCCCTTGGCGTCTCGGCCACCGTCTGTCTCAGTTGTCGCTGTCTCTCTGTGTGTATCTGTCTGCCTCTGTCTCTATCTCTGTCTCCATTTCTCCGTGACCCTCTGTATCTCTCCGTGTCTGTCTCTGTTTCCTTCAGTGAGTCTCTCTGTCTGCCTCTGCGACTCTGTCTCAGTCTTTCTCCGTGAGGGAGGGAATGAGTCCAGGATTCAATCTGATATGGCACTGGACCTGGGGTGCGCAAATAGACAACATGGCGAATGCCCGTTTTTGCTCCAGTTATAGTATCACAAGTTTGATAGTGCAAATAGTGATAATAATAATAATAATAATAATAATAATAATAATAAAACGATTCAAAAAATAGTGAAAGAATTAACTGACGAAACACAGCTAGCCCACAAGAAAAACATGCTCTCCTATTGCCTGGTGCCTGGCTGCGGGCTTGTTCCCGCACCGACCCGAGCGCCGAAGATATACGGGTCTCTTCACCCGTCGCCACTCAGCAGCGCATCGGAGTGGCTCGTAGCTAGCAAAACATTGGGTTAAATGAGGCATGCACAGGGTTTTGCACTTTTTCTGACCTTGGGAGCAGCGCGCGAGCCACTCAAGCGCAAATCCAGGAAGGTAAGAAGGGTGGGGATGAGAGCCATTCTAGGATTGGGAACCATCAATGACAATGCGCAATTCGAACCGTAGCACGTAAATTGAAATAGCAATCGGCGAGAACACGACGGATGGTTACACACAATTCACGAAATATCTTTTGCATTATATTAGAAATGTTTGTTGTCAATAGTTGACAATGTGAAATATGAACCTAAAACGGATTGCATACCTACATATTTGGTTTGGACACCAAGTATTATAATTGCTTGTAGGGCTGATGCTGTAATTCACTTTGCTCCGATGTAATAAAAAAAGTGTGGCGCTAAACACAAAATTGTAATATTGAATCGTTTATGTCAGTAATGAATTATTTTTCATTAACTTTTGTAATTGTATAAAAAAATTATATCAAAGCAACAAAAAAATTCTTAGAAAATAATTATTACGGTCAGCTCTAATTTTTTAAAAGAGTTCATTATACATATCTAATATCATGTCAAAGAACACTACGTCACGCACCACCAAGCCTCTAATCGCCTTGTCCGTCCTGCGTCGTTCCGCCCCGTCCCGCCCAGCCACGTTTTGCCCCGCCCCGCCCAGCCACGTTTTGCCCCGCCCCGCCCCCGCACAATGTGGATGGTGGTGGATGCAGCCGCCGTCTCACAAAGCGCTGCTCTCGCACCCCCCTCCCACCCCTCCACGTGAAGAACAGCTCTCCCACACCCCGGGCTCATCAGGGGTCGCTCACCTTCAACCTTCGGGTATCTGGGTTCATATCTTCGTTGATCTTTAGGGGATTTGCGGTGCACAAAGCGTGCTCAAGGCAAGTTTCCTTTCCCTCTTTCTCATTCCACCTGCTCCGTCGTTATTCAAACTGTGATCTATTAGGAAACAATACTCACTCTCTCAGATTAGCCACAGAGAATTTACATTTACTATTCACTCATAAGAAACTAATGGTGTTACCGCATATTTTCACGCAATATTTGTAACTTTTGCAGTTTTTGAAACGTGAGTGAGCTTAACGGAAACAAAACGTTTATTGTTCTATGCGAAAAAAATACATAAGAAATGTGGAGGCATCTTTGAGAAACTTTTGAAAACGACCTTGAGGTTTCGTGTGCAGTGTCCCTAAAAATTAAAATATTCTTTTCAAATTTAAGGTGTAAAGACACGAGTAAGATTTACGGTCGAATATCAGTTTTGATGACAATTCTATTTATAGTTTAGTCGCTAGCGTTCTTTACAGACGGAAAAATGTTTAGCCGTAAACCAATTTTTCTGTATCAAGGCAACACATGGATTCTGATTACACAAAGAGTTGGAGGAAGTTATTTACTACAAATAGGAACACACATTACTCACTTTTTTGTATCAAAGATCAACAACACTAGTTTTCTCCCGAAAAGTGTCGCATTTTTATACTTTTTTCTGTACTAGGTAAGTAGTACGCAATAAAGTTGAAACACTGTAAATGGTCTAACTATTTGCCCAGCGGTGATCGAGTACAACATAACTCACTTTCGGAAATGACATTCGAAAATAGAGGCTTTGATGAATCGGTGTATCTGCTCCTCTCCAGTGGATGGTGTCGTCGTTCCAAAATCATTGATAGTTATATCTCTTCTAGAAAACAAGAGACATCTGTAACGCCACAAAATAATAACTCATCACCATCCATTAAATCATCAATATCGAGAGTAGCATAAAAGATCAGCTTACAGACAGCGATCCTGTCTGGGAAGGACACCTCACCTAACGCCGGAGATGTGACCTGCGTAGCTTTCACTGACCTCGGAAGCCTCGCGCGAGCCACTCGAATGCAACTTCGGACAGAAAGAAAGGTTGGGGTCAGATTCATTCTAGAAGTGGGGATCATCAATGAGAATGAGCAATTCCAACTTTGCGCGTAAATTGACAGAGTAATCTGCAAGAACATGTCGGACCGTTACATACAGTTCAACTAATATTGCATATTGTATATATTGGAAATATTTGTTATCGATAGATGACAATGCAGAATATGAACCTAAAACGAATTAGACAAACTTCTTTGACTTGGACGCTGAGTATTATAATTGCTAGTAGAGCTGATGATGCAATTAGCTTTGCTGGGATGAAATCACAAACAAACCTAGTGCTAAATACAGAATTGTGAACTTGTATCTTTTTTATTTGATGATGACAGTGTTAAACTATTTTTTGTTTAACAATGTTTAATTCAATATATGGTTTGATCAAAGTCAAAACATCGTATTCGTAAACAATCATTATTATTTTCTTCTCTAATTACTGACAATAGTACGTTATACATTTCTAATAATAAATCAACAAACACTATTCATAATCGTTTAAGACATCGTATAAAAAACAAGCTTTTGAATTATATTTAACAAGACCTGCAATAATCTCATACTTACCCGTAACATATAGTCAGAGATATAGAGGCACACGTTTGTCACAAAACAGATTTTAGCGGAATCCGAAAGGTAAAACAAAGGGAGGCATTAGACCCCAGGCATTGAATCTGTGCGCCGAGTCGTTTCCACTGTGCAATGACAAGCTTCTCTCCTTCCCGCAAAGCTGCCTGTCTCCCAACTACTTATACTTTTGTTGCGCTCGTAGGCAGACCGGCTCTTGGGTGCAGAATGCCCACGGAAAGAGGCGTGGTGCAGTAATGCCGAAGATATACACACCCTGTGACTACTCATGTGCTATCGGACACCTTTTTGAACTGGTATCAACCTGTCAAATTAGTTCCGCAGTCATTTCATCGGACTAGCCACACCCATTCCAATCAGAAAACAAAATATGGCGTTGATACAAAAACTTCATCACTTTTTTAAAAGATAAAATTCAGTTGCAAAATTTCATAATTCAATTGCGTCCTACTACCGGACACGAAATTCATCGAAGCCGCCAGGGAACCATCTCTTTCTGACAACCGCCGCTGAAAGCCCTCGAGTGCGCCACAAAAGCGGCGAGCCGCGACCGCGCGAAAGACGTCGACGACAAATATTTTCGCTGCGCCCTAGGGCAACCGGCCGTGCCGTGGAGCCGCGAACGCGACGGCGGGCGCCGAGGCGGGGGCGAGGGTGGGGGCGGAAGCGCGCGGGCGGCGGGCAACGCGACACAGCCTTCGATCGGCGCCGCGGGCGCCCCATTAAGACGACATCGGAACGCGCTCGGCGCCGCGACCCTGCGCCTCCGCCGCCGCCGCCGTCCTCCCCTCCTCCGCCGCGGGCGCCGCATTAGCATACGGCGCGGGGCGACGAAGCAAGGAGCAAGTGGGGCGGCGGGCGAGGTAGGGGCGACGACAGGGCGGACGGCGATGAAGGTTGGTGGG